TTTGTATAAGTAGAGTGCACTCTTGATTTTTAGGCTTGTAAAGAAAGAATTGTACGTGATCTTAAAGATCATTTGCAGAATGAAATTTTTCCAGGATCTCTATTAATTCAGTAGCGTGAATAATAATAGTTCTATTTTAATAAAAACAATTATGTTCATTGTTAGATCTGAGTTTAGCTCTTCCTCCTTTTTCATGAGAGTAAAAACAATCATGCAAGTTATGTTCCTGCTTGATATTCTGATACTGAAAAAATGTTATTGCCAATGTAATTGGATAATATGATTTTCTTAAAAGCATGAAACAGCATTATCTCAAGTATGTCAGTCTTAATGCCATTAATCCTCTAAGGCAACAGATACCCTGCATATGCACTTGCGTGCACTGTAGTATGTGACCTTGCAAGACGTAATATTGGCCAAACAAAGTAAGAGCCTGTGGGAAAATTTGTACAGACCTCCTAACTGAAAAAAATTAAAGAGCTGGAGGTTCACATAGACAATTTTCCCAGCATTTTTCCAGATCAACAGAAGGAAACACACTACAGGATGTTTAGTACCATGCTCATAGAAACAGAATGCATGAAATAACGTCATCGATTTTGTTTTTGCAATTTGTAGTTTTGAGAGGGCTTTATGTTTTACCTTTTTCCCGTGATATGAAACACTACTGTGACAGTAAATTGCATTATCTACTATGAGCTGTTACAGCCATTCCTTTTAGGCACCAAAGAAAGCACTCCGAAAATCAGGTCACTTCTTTTAGTAGGTATTGCTTGAGGTATTTGACTATAGGCACAGAAGTATTAAAATGTTGATGTTATTGTATCTGCCTGTATTTTCTAAACAGCGAAATAGTTACAATGAAAGGAAATGCTGAGCTTTAAGGGTTGTTTGTCCTACTCAAGTAATACACATACAGTGCTCTAAGATCCTTTCATAAAAAGTATTACAACTGTTAATAGCCAAAACAAAAATCTACTGCTTCCAAAGTGTTTCTTTATCCTGCAAGTGCTCTCTACCAGTTACGTGATGTCTTACTGTTTTCTCCTACTCCAGCTTCTGAAATCAGGGTTTCTGACTCTTGTGAAACTGAAATAAGATAAAGGGGAACTGGACCCAAATTTCTTAAAATAAATACTAAAACCTTACTGAAAAGAAAAAAGAAATAAAAAAGGAAAAAGAAAAAAAAAAAACACTCAGCCTTAAATATCTGCAAGAAAACTGGGCAAACTGTTTAACAAAAATAGCTTTTTAATCAAATATCCACTACATTTTTCTACTGCAGCTTTGTTAAGGCAGGCAAGATAGTTCGTACAAACACTCTGACTTCCTCAATGTGTTAACTGAAATTAGAAGTATATCTGGGTTGATATTTTAGGCTGTTCTCTAAATCTGGATGTTTTTCCTAACCATAGCCATCCTTTTCTCTTTGTCACATACAGGGTTTACCCTTAAATCCATCATATGGTAATGGAACTTGGGTTGCATTTGTATCGTTTCCTTTGGTTTTGCCCATACAGGTGACTTCCAGTGCACAAACCAGCCGGTGGGTTTGTGGCACTCCTTGAAACTGCTTTGCCCCTGGTCTCTATGTGAACAGCTCAGCTTTCTATTTCTGCAACTAGAGTGTTTAAAAGGCAGAAGAGCTATTAAAAAGGTAGCGTGCTGGTTTTCAGTAGTTGCTCACTTCACTGAGTGAGCAGAGCTCAAACTGGAAACTTCCTCCCAATCACATCATATAAATTGTGGGGCTAGAGCAATGCATTCAAAGCTCATCACAGCACAGTGTTCGCATGTGTAAATACTAAGTTTTGTAGTAAATTCATTGCAACCAGCTTTCACAACTTGGCCTATTGTATCAAAATAATTTTGAGAAGCTTTGGGATAAAAGGTGTTGTTCTTATGTATGGGGTTATTGATAACAGAACTCAAGAATTTCAGAGTTGTGGTGCTCACAGCAACTATATCTCATCACTCGTATTGCATCTATAAACTACAGCATTTAATTTAACAGTATGTCTATAATTTAATAAAACTACAAGTGTTCAGCTTGCCTGAATTATGGGTACTCTATAAGCATTGTAACTTTAACTCCCCTGACTTTCTCTCAGTTAAAGACACCAATCTTAATATTATACTAACATATTTCATTTAGTGCATTAAAGATTAATTCACTACTTTATTTTAATGAGAAAAAACACAGATCTTTAACTCAAACATAATGATTAAAATATTAAACAGATTAAAGTGCATGTCCTCTGAGAAGTCACAGATTCTCTACATACTCTGACTTAGATATCTAATATCTGCCTGAAAACCATATTAGTTTCCAATAGTGTATTGGAAATACACTATTACAGGTTTTAAACTTCTGGCTGAAGTCTGAGCATGTCATCAAAATGTCAGCAGATCTTGATTTTACTAAACCTGTGTTAACTTCTTTTTTGTACATAAGTGATTTGAAAAGTCAAGCTTTTACAGTTGACAAGCAGGAGCTGTAGGTTCCAAAATGTTTGTGAGGGGTGGTATGAATATAGATTGTATTTTCGCTGTTTGATGATTCTATAGGCCTAGCATCAATGCAAGAATAAGACCTGAAAAAAATATTATCCTCTGTCTGTCATAAGTGGTTGGAGGAGCGTAAAATGCTCCATATTCTTGTATGTCAAAAATCAGAATCAAAACCACTACCAAGTATTACCTTCATTTGCACTTTACAAATGTATACACACCAGGAAAGCATCAACTTTCCAGATCTGGGGTCTAAGCATAAACTTAGAAGCCACAGAACTGAAACATTGCTTTTTCTTTTTTTTTTTTTTTTATTTGATGTGGGAACATATCAGAGCCATGTATTCAATCCTGTTCCTCCAGTGGGTTCTGTTAGTACTCTCAGTCTGTAATACTCCAGTTCTTAGTTAGAGTCATACCCTTTTCTAGAAGACTATTTTAAGTGTTTTTAACTATTTATTCCATTACTTCCTATAGATACACAATTCTGTGTGCCTTTGTTCAATAAGAAAACTGGACTTTAAAATATATTCCTGCCTTAAGGAACTTATATTCTTGAAGCCCAGGCAAATATCAAAAACAAAAAACAAAAAAAAAAGAAGAAAACAGCAACAAGCTTTGCATGCTGCTGGAAGATAAGAATTTAAATGTTTCACAGAAGTAGAGTTACCAGAGTCATTAACTAAAGGATATTTAAAGAAAACTTGGAAGTTTATTTTAAAAAGGCACAAGGAAAGAATTGGTTAAACAAAACATGGAGCAACTGAGAAGGAAGTCTGAGTCCTGAGAAGGGAGACTGAGACATAAGAAGAAATGTTGATAAAGATGCAAACTAGAATACACTTCAGGATTAAATCTTGAGTCCTCTGAGGAAAATATAAAAGGTCCAAGAGAGTTTATCAAGGCCAGACTTGACCAAGAGAGATCTGGGAGAAAAGAGAGAGCTTTGAGCACAAGAGGAAAGAAGAAATTGTCTGAGCCTGGAAGTTCAAGGAAGGCCCTAAATCATTATGTCAGTAGCAGGAAAAGAAGAGTCAATGAAGGAAGAAAGTTGGCAATGTCTTAGGTTTGAAATCAGCAGCAAACAAAGCAATGGCATGGCTTATGAATAGTTTGGTTAATTAATTATAATTAGCAATAAACCCATGAATGCTTAGGACCATTAAATATCTTTGTTCCTTTGTATAGCACAATGGTTTTTGCATTGCAGTTTATAGCAGCATAGATTGATAAAATGCCATAAAAATTTGACCTACATTGACAGTAACATTTTAAAGCCTCTGGCCTTAGAGGCTCTGGATTTAGGCTTATGTTTGTAGTAGGAATCAACAGCTAAGCTGTTAGCAAACAGTCCAGTGTTTCAGTTTTAGTTGTCTAAACAAGCTGGCATGTAAATGCTCTGGCTGAAGTTTGGGAAGCAACGGATACACAAGATAGCAGAAGTTAAATGTTGTTGAAGAACAGACTTTCCATAGAAAAGAGACACTTGGTGATTATCCTGGTAGATGCTAGTTTTCATAGCTGCAGGACAAATTTTAGCAACCCAGATTTGAGACTCCTTGTTTAATATGGTTTGTAAGGGTTTCTGAGCATTGTAGGTATAGCTTGCTTTATAGAGTTGATTCACTAAGAATAATCAGAAAAGCAGCAAACTAAAAATTCACAACTTCTTTTATTTAAATCTAGCACAAAATATGTTTAACTAAAAAGCCCTTTTGCAGTTTCACCTTTACTATAAAAATGGGGTTTCTGCAAAATAACTTCAGGACAAGTCCTTCAAGGACCCTGCTCCACTGCATGTTGTTTCCACTGTTACAGGAAAGAGAAGGGTGTTGGTTTGCAATGGTCAGAAGCCCCAAGAGCAGAGAAAGGGAGAGGATGGGTGGGCAAGAGCACCAGGCTCTTGGACTGTCCTCTGCTATGTCCCAAAATCTCATGAATGCACATTCCTAGTGTTCCAGATTTCCATTGCGAAGAATGGACGGCATTTACCTCAGATCAAGAGAAATAATGCATATCAATAAGAAGAAGAAAAAGAAGGGAATAAAGACTTGTATGACTCAGATGCTTAGACTAACATAATTCAAAAGGAGGATCCCTGAAAGCTGGCAGGTGTTCAGTCACACTAATTATGCTATAGAAGCAATAGTAGTATAATTTCACACTTGCAAACCTACTTTTGTGATGATTAGTACATAGCTCCACAAATTTGAAATGTATCTTGAACCGAAATCATCCTGGTGAGTGTAGCTATGCACACTCTGAAAAGATTGTGATATAGGGATTTGTATTTCATCTTTTGTGCCTCCCCAAAAGTGTTCAATATGTTGAGCTGAACCAACAGCAGCCCATGGTCAAATGGGATGGAGGATGAGCCCTTGGCCGTGAGAGTTTTTGTTATGGCTCTGTTGTGGCTTAGCACAGTCAAATCTTGCTGTGCAATTACATCAGGGAAGAGTATACTAAGAGAACTGTGTTTATCACTTCAGGTTCCTCAAGATGAATGGACTGGATACACTCCACGAGGGAAAGATGATGAGATTCCCTGCCGACGAATGCGTAGTGGCAGTTACATCAAAGCCATGGGGGATGATGACAGTGGAGACTCAGACACAAGTCCAAAGCCGTCTCCAAAGATTGCTGCACGGAGAGAGAGCTATCTCAAGGCCACCCAGCCATCCCTTACAGAGCTCACCACCCTCAAGTAAGTCCATGTTTTACTACATCATATAGAGCTTTCCATTAAGACATACAGTTTCTGTTCCTATTTGTTTCTATTCTTTACTGCTAGGTACCAGTTAAGGAAAGTATTTAAACAAGTGTGTTCGGTCATGCTTGGTTTTGGTTGGGTTTTTTTCTGAACAAGAGTAGATTTGGGAATGTATTTCAATGTTATTCTGAAAAGGGACCCTACTACCTGCGCTTTGAATTTGCAAAGTATTTCAACCTGTTAGTGTTAAGTGAGTATTCAGGTATGTACAATAGGTCTGTTCTTTAAATACTTAGGTGAATTATAGCTTTGGCCTGCAAAAGCTTTGCATATTTGTGTATTTATATATACTCAACATGCGAAATTAGCCCTAAGCTAGTCTTTGCAGCTCATCAGAGAGCATCTGACATTTAATTAAAAAGAACAATGGCCATCTGAAAATAGACAAATCCATGGTTTCCACTCTTTAGTTCGCTCAGAATTGCACTGTATTTAGTGGAGAAATATAACCAAACCTGAAATTTTTTTAATTGGTTACGAAAGCTTTAGCCAAGAGGAATGATGAATTTAGGGTTTTTTAATGCCACTTTGTGTTTTTCTTTTATTTGGGCCTTTTAAAAGAGCCACCCAAATTCTCATGAAAATTGCACATATGGACAATTTTGGTATTAGTGTTTTATTTTAAATGATTCTAAAATTGAGATGTCCCCTAAAGCAAGAAAATAAATTATATCCATAAAAGAAAATATTGTGGATTTAAATCAACAATTGTTTCTGTCTGCCTTCTGCAAAATTTGTAGCTGTAATAGTGAATCATAGTTCACTGAACCAAAAATAACCTAATTTAGTATAGCTTCCCTAAGGCTGTAGCTTTAAAATGGAAAAAAAAGAGCTGTATCTCTTTTAGTATCCCTGATTAGTGACGGAAGACTCCTTCTGCATTTCCCTCATTAATTTCCTCTCCTTCCTTGTCCTACTCTACCCCATTTTTTGTCCAGAGACCTTATCTGAGAAATAGATTTTAAAGCGTTTGATCCTTGTTAAGAATGTCATGCTCTTGACATCAGTGATGAATAGACCAGAAGACAAAAACATGCTTATTGCAGCTCCCCATAGCAGCCTGCCTGACTTTGTCTCAGGGGAAGCCAGGAATTGCTTCTGCTTTGTCTTTCCATTAGTGTCCAAAGGAGAAAGCAGGCTCATTTTCTGCAGGGATTTTCATAAGCTCGCTGGCACTTGCTCAAGGGATCCAGTGATTCCTCTCATCATCCAGCAGACTTTACCACATCCTTTCCTGAGCCAAAACTCCTCCTCTGAGATCAGTTATTGCAACCTCTGCAAGGTGAAAGTAAATGTTACGTACAACTACAAACTCCATAAAGCCATGCTTTATGCATGGGCACACTCTCAGGCATGGAGCTTATTCTTTTTGAGACTTTAGAAGCATATGTTCCGTAGATCCATAATATATATGTGAAGTACAATGCATCACAGTGCGTGTATTTGCACTTGGTCATTTCTGTTCTCTGTAGATATGAGATTTGCAAAATAATATGGAATTACTAAAAATAAAAAGTCCTGTATGTCACTGTTCACCCACAGAGGATGTTATATCAGAGGGGCTAGGCAGGAGAAGCTTTTGGGTTTAGCTTTGAAGTCATTGTAATTCAGCCAAGTGCTTGTATGAATACTTCATTTCACATATGGTTTTTTAATCGCTTCCTATTCGGGAAAGCTTTTAGGAGTGTGCTTAATTTTAAGCTGCACTCTGTAAAATTCATGTAAGTTTAGGAGCTATGCAGAAGTAGGATGTACATCACAGGGTGGAAGAAGGAAGCGGAAAATGGCAAACTGTAGTAAAACAAAAAAGAGGACACAATATGAAATAACTTTTCTTTTTCAATTACTTTTCAGCATAAATTGGGATGAAGTAGAATTATTTCTTTTAATCTATGATAATACTTCATCGAAATGTCTGTTCCTGGCAAACCTTTCCACTTCCAGAGACAAATTGTGTAATACATAATTATGCATTGCTTTTATTCCTTTCTGCTGAACATGATAATTTGGGGGGGGGGGGGGGGGGGGGAA